AACTTCTAAAATCTTTTGTTATTTATTTATTTATAACTTTATTTTTCACACCTTAAATTTGGGTTTAAATCCTTTTTTCACACAGTTTTTTACAGATATTTTTGGAGATAATTCTGGTTGTTCTATTTTACCTCCATTATTGTTTCACAGATGTCGCTAGTTACTTTATATTTACATACCATTCCAGTGTTTCAGGGGCCTAATTACTTTGCTGCTTCTGCTACAAAAGTTTTCCGACAAATTTCTTCGTACAATAAAGAAAACAACAATATTTTTGACTTATTGCACTTATACGAATATGTGAATTCTATTATAAAACATTATTCCTCAACAAATGCACTATCATATAACACGCCCTCTATGATGCATTAGATAAAATATTTTTAAAACCATGCTGGTAACGGTCTGCGAATACAACTATATTGAGAATTATTCGTTTGTAAAAGAGGCGAATAACAAAAATAATAACTTGCAATAAACCTCGTGTTGCTAGGTATTGAAGACGAATATTAAATCAACTTGTCAAGTATTGTTTTTATTTTATATAATTTTAATACTGAGAAAAGAATTGTGCCCCTCTTGTTGAGTTGAATGATAAAATCATATATTTGATACCAGTTATAATAATCAGGCTATGACTGCAGTTACCTTGGAGATTCGATATTTCCTTGTTATCGTCTTCGTGTTCATATTATTAGACACACAAAGCGCTTTTTATATTCAAAAGATTGTTTTTACTGAGATAGAAACAAAAAAAAACTTTTTTCGTGTTTTCGAAAATATCAAGAATTAACTCAAACCTCTCCAAAAATATTTCAAATTTTGCCTTAAAAATAAGAATACCAAAAAAAATGTTTCCGACAAAGAAAGGAGTGGAAGAAGCATGTTTGTTAATTTGATGACTTCTCTGAATGTCTCCCAGAGGGACAACAGTAAATTTACGGAATTACAAACAATGTCTTTTCCGAAACCATAGAGAGAAAGGGGTGGGATGAAAAGATGATATTAGGACATGATAAAATCACATTCTTGTAAAGTAGCACCATGGAAATCTTTCTCAGGTTTCTACTTTTGTATTTCCATATGATTACATTATCTCTTAAAGGAACGTCCGATTAAGAAGGTAATGAAATAAGCTCAATTAAGTATTATAAGAAAACTTATTTCTAAAATATACAATTACCTCAGTGCATGTTTTTAAATATTATGCGCTTTAGCCTAATTTTCCACATGCCTCCTCCCCGGTAGCTCAATAGTAAGTCTTCAGGCTAACGACTCTGAAAATCGAGATTCGATACCCGTGGTGGGCAGAGCACAGATATCCCATTGTGTAGCCTTGTGCTTAATTCCAAATAAACCAAAGATTGCTCATTGATACGCAGCATGCTGACGTCATATTATAATACTCATTCTGTAAATTTGAGGTTTCTGCGTTAAGCCTCCCCAGAAAGCACTACCTAAACGTATATATAATGATAAATGAACAAATTGTATCGCATAGATTCTTAAGTAAAAGTGGTTCAAACCCTGTTTCTGCCTTACTAGTTGGTGTTACGGTAGTTTCATCAACACAGAAAGAACGACGAAAAAATAGGAGCTAAAGGCTGTCGTTTCTGTATTGTATTTGTCAATAACTCTTGTAGAATTTTCATAAGACGATATCGATCGGTGAGAGTGATTTATCGGATTCTCAAGATTTCGTACACGTCGATTTTTTATGATTTCCTAGGTTCACGAGTAAATCATTTTTTATCACCGTTTCTCGAAGTTATTTTTTTTTTTCATTTTTAAAAATAAAAGCATTAATGTTCTTAAGAGTTATGGTATTGTAACAAACAGTTTTATAAAAATCATAATTTTACTAGGCAGTTATTTTTTTCTTTTTTTTACTGTAGGTAAATAATATTTTTCGCAATATATTTCATGTGACAAGTCAGGGACAATAAATATTTTCATGTTATGGACACGCGCATGCTATGCTAAATTCAAAATACTAAAGCGTACAATAATAAAAATTAAATCACCCAGAATTAAATCAATTGTAGGGAAACCACAATCGGTATGTAGTTATGACAGTAATAGTACGATTAATGTTGACATGCCAGAAAAATATTAACTGATGTTTACGGAACTTAAAACTTGCCACATGAAAATATTATATATATTACATTGAAAGTTTTATTTCTGGACAAGCAAAACTAAGAATGTATAGTAATCACATTATATGTGCTAAATCTAGTGCCGACGAGGCCTTTCACTCAATATTATTGCTCATTAGGATAGTTGAGACACTATTTACACAGTAGTGGTTGAGACTATTTACAAAGTAGTGTTTAAGATTATTTATACAGTAATGGTCGAGACACTGTTTACACAATAGTGGTTGAGACACTATTTATACAGTAATGGTTGAGACACTATTTACACAGTAGTGGTTAAGATTATTTATACAGTAATGGTCGAGACACTGTTTACACAATAGTGGTTGAGACACTATTTACACAGTAGTGGTTAAGATTATTTATACAGTAATGGTCGAGACACTGTTTACACAATAGTGGTTGAGACACTATTTATACAGTAATGGTCGAGACACTGTTTACACAGTAGTGGTTGAAACTATTTACACAGTAGTGTTTAAGATTATTTATACAGTATTTACACAGTAATGGTCGAGACACTGTTTACACAGTAGTGTTTAAGATTATTTACACAGTAATGGTCGAGACACTGTTTACACAGTAATGGTCGAGACACTGTTTACACAGTAGTGGTTGAGACACTATTTACACAGTAGTGTTTAAGATTATTTATACAGTAATGGTCGAGACACTGTTTACACAATAGTGGTTGAGACACTATTTATACAGTAATGGTCGAGACACTGTTTACACAGTAGTGTTTGAGACACTTTACACAGTAGTGGTTGAGACACTATTTACACAGTACTGGTTAAGACTATTTACGCTATGAAAGTATATGAAAACTGGTTTCTGTTTGAACTAGATAAGTAGATGTTGTGTACTTTTTATCAGTTTTATATCAGGATTAAAGTTAAGATTAATCTTACAATAAATCGTATTACTATGAGACATTAATGCTGAAATAAAAAAGTACACAAACAAGAAAAGTAATACTAGTTAGCACGATTTTCAATCCCTTGATTGGCATTGTGATCTGTATAGCAATGAAGCAGTCTAAGTTTGCCAACCAAAGTAGGTTTAGAAAATCGTTTTAAGATCTATGGAATGAACACAACATCTGTAAGTTTTCAGTATAGTCATATCCCTGATAGCTATAACTTTTACAAGAATTAAAACCACAATCATAAATTTACAAAATGTAATCCTTACTTTGGCCTACAGGTAAGTGTATATAGCTGCCAAAGTAGGGATTAAATTTATGATCATGGTTTTAATTCTTGTGTCGTTAC